TCAAAGAAGAGCCAAATGAATCTCAAACTGAATCTGATCAGCCACATGTTCAAACACTACCTAATGTACCACTAACCATGCCAGACAATGACACTGAGGGTGTGGATTCCGAGTCTGCTGATACAAAGCCAGGCATATTGAGGTAAGTTGAAATAGCACTATGTTGACTATTATAATTATAAATATTAAATAATAATTAATTACTACTAGCTTGCATTAAGTAATTAAATGGATATCTAAGTATTTAAATTGTTTTTTTTTTCAGTAGCCCCTCATCTTCACAGCCTTCTGTCCTAGATGATCTATTTGGTGATGTTTATATTGTTGATGAGAAGACCCCTAAAACAACACTATCCTTGGAGCAGAGAGTTGTAACTATAAGCGATTCGAAACGGATTCGAAACTCGAATCGTCATTTTCTGACTCAAATCGGATTCGACTCGAATCGAATTTTTTCGACTCGTCTCACCCCTAATAAAGAGTGTATACCTCAGAATATTAAACACTTCCTCAAAACAACACATGAGAAAAGAAGGAAGGATGAGAATGAAAGTACACGTAAATCTCAGAAAATGGTTGAGAGAAACCTGAGGGTAAATCTGCCAAAAGAATTCAGAATTGGGGAGAATGTTCTACTAAAGGTTAGGGGGAAAGATGACCAGGTAAAGAGCATAGGTTCATCGCTTATTAAAAGGAAGTGTGAGTCTGATTTATACAGGTATAAACTGCAATATGAACGGGAAGGTGACCCAAGCTTGGAAAACGTTTGATGTGATCCAATGCCTGACTAAGGAAGAGTCAAACAAAAGATCTGAAGAGGAAAAGAAAAAATGCAGGTATATTATCAATTAGTCGCATATTTGGAAAAACACTCATTACCAAAAATCACACAAAATATTTAAGACTTTTTCTAATCTTTATTTCTTACAAACTACTACTGTAATTAATCTTTTACTTCTCAAATTTGATTTTAGCCCTCGGCAATACACCTGCTTCATCAAAACATTGCAATTGTAAAGACCCAGGGTGTATATAACTCCTGCCAAAAAGTGTTTCTTTGGTATAAACAACCTGTCCTGCAAAGCAAGACCAAGTGGAGGCTGATTGTGTAAAGTTACAAACCACAATACAAGGAACAATATCATTCAGTGAGTAGTTTTGATATAATAAGCATTTATAATTAATAGGAAATAATTAATGAACAACATTTAAATTTAACATTCTAATGTTGGGACAGTATTGACATTAGGAATGATTGGCAAAAAAATATCGAAGAAGCAAACATGTGAAGAAGCAAACATCTCTCAATTACACAATTCAAGTCATCTGACTGGTTCAAATATCATGAATGGGGATAACAGCATCCATTGCTATAGAGGTGAAAACTAATGAGGACAATTACATTGCGAATGGAATATTGAATAAGGCCAGTATGGACTTCACTGTGAAAAGCTTGGAATTTGGAAAGTCACATGAGATATCCACCAATCATTTGTACGCGCAAAAAGAAAGAAAAAACATACTAAATTTTCAGTTGAATATTCTGGGTTGGTTATCAACAGTTAGTACCTCATTTAGGAGCTAGTCCAGATGACATTGTAAAATGTGATTTTTGTAGGAAGCAAAAATTGACTATGTGTTTGCCAGTGGGTGAAACGCAGGTTTCAAAGTCAATAAAAATGTATTTAAATGGCTTGCGTAAATCAGCAATCGGCAGCCCATGTTTGACTCTTTCTTGATTTTCTCGCTGGACTTGATCTCTGTACTTCGCAATACCTGTCTTCTTTTTTTTAACAAAGCATTTGTGCTTTTCAAAATTGGCGACCAATTTGTAGCAAATCGTGCACCTTAATAAGAAAAAGAACGAAAAAATCATTTTGATTTGTAACCTTTTTAAAAGAGAAAATACGAAATTAAGAAAATGAAATAGAAATAGACTACAATACAATGTTCAATTGGAAAATATTTTATTTTGTCAAGAAATTGAATTATTTCAAAAGCAAGATTTACATGTGATTATTTAAGTTTCACACATTAGTTTAGCAGGTGTTAACTATATTTGATGTTTGTATTTATTTTGTCAAGAAATTTAACTATTTCGAACGCACAACATACTTTCATTTGTATTCGTGCATTTATTCATTTTCGTTGCAGGTGGGAAAGATTGACAAGCTATTTCAAATGAAAATTTACTTGTTTATCAGTGTTGATAAAGATGGAGAAATTAACTTTATAGTAGAAGATCTCTATTATGAGATCATTGCAAAATACGGTGATGATAATGAAATTGTGATGAGAAAATGTGTAGGGGATAATTACACATTTATAGCTCATAGTAACAACTTTGAGTTTTATAAATCTGCAGACGACATGTCGATTGGGATATATGACTCGTAAGTAAAATTGTTTTATTTTATTCAAATAATAAAAAGATAATAATTTATAATTGCAAACTTATAAAAAATCATTTTTATTTCAAGCAATACTGTTAAAGTAATTTAGCAAACAAGATCACTTTTTTCATTGTAACCTCTTTTTCATTTCAAATCAACTCTGTTCAATTATATTAAAAATAAACTAAATTATCAGGTCCAAAAAGCTGTGTGTATGTTAAAAATGGACTGATTGAGATGATGATAAAAATAAAATGTTTAAACCTTAACGTGTAAAGATGAATTTCATCGTTTTAAAAAATGATAATTTTACATGATACTTCTTTATTTTGTTTTTTTGCCATTTCATTTTGATTTGCTTATAAAAATTTTGACTTGCAAATAAAAAATAAGTCCTCGTGTCATTATAGTAATATTATACATATTGATTTTCAAGGGTCGGAGTATGTTACACTCCTAAAGAGATGCATGACAGATACTTCAGGATAGGATTTCCATTTTTTCTTCTAAAAAAGGGTTATATACAATTTACTATTTACAATATAAGATAATAATAAAATTAAAACAAAGAATGCAATGCATAATCATGATAAAAATCATGGACAAGTTTTTATTCAAAAAAAAGTAAGTCAACTGAGGTTTAATATGCAAATACTTTTTAAAAATCTCACTAAAAACGAGTAATAGTGACATTTTAAAGCTAGATATAAACTCTTTTTAATGTTTAAAAGAAAAATAGAGAACCTATTAAAAGTATGAGAGTTTTAAGTGAAATGATTTATTTTATTTTTCAAGTGGACAAATGACGCAAAGAGGAGGATTTAATGCATTACAAAGGGCACTAATAAACTCTTTTATAAACATTTACCTAAATCTTAAATATGACATTACATTGATAATATAAAACAAAACAAATTGTTACAATTTATTTTCATCATCAAGAAAATGAAATAGAAATAGACTAAGTTAGCAAACATACAATACAATGTTCAATTGGAAAAGTAAAACAAGCGTGTTAGATTTATATGTGATTATTTGAGTTTCACACATTAGTTAAGTAGGTGTTAATTATATTTGATGTTTGTATTTTATTTTGTCAAGAAATTGAATTATTTCAAATGCAAGATTTACATGTGATTATTTAAGTTTCACACATTAGTTTAGCAGGGGTTAACTGTATTTGATGTTTGTATTTATTTTGTCAAGAAATTTAATTATTTCGAACGCACAACATACTTTCATTTGTATTCGTGCATTTATTCATTTTCGTTGCAGTTGGGAAAGATTGACAAGCTATTTCAAATGAAAATTTACTTGTTTATCAGTGTTGATAAAGATGGAGAAATGAACTTTATAGTCGAAGATCTCTATTATGAGATCATTGCAAAATACAGTGATGATAATGAAATTGTGATGAGAAAAAGTGTAGGGGATAATTACACATTTATAGCTCATAGTAACAACTTTGAGTTTAATAAATCTGCAGACGACATGTCGATTGGGATATATGACTTGTAAGTAAAATCGTTTTATTTTATTCGAATAATAAAAAGATAATAATTTATAATTGCAAACTTATAAAAATTCATTTTTAATTCAAGCAATACTGTTAAAGTAATTTAGCAAACAAGATCACTTTTTTCATTGTAACCTCTTTTTCATTTCAAATCAACTCTGTTCAATTATATTAAAAATAAACTAAATTATCAGGTCCAAAAAGCTGTGTGTATGTTAAAAATGGACTGATTGAGATGATGATAAAAATAAAATGTTTAAACCTTAACGTGTAAAGATGAATTTCATCGTTTTAAAAAATTAGATAATTTTACATGATACTTCTTTATTTTGTTTTTTTGCCATTTCATTTTGATTTGCTTATAAAAGTTTTGACATGCAAATAAAAAATAAGTCCTCGTGTCATTATAGTAATATTATACATATTGATTTTTAAGGGTCGGGTATGTTACACTCCTAAAGAGATGCATGACAGATACTTCAGGATAGGACTTCCATTTTTTCTTCTAAAAAAGGGTTATATACAATTTACTATTTACAATATAAGATAATAATAAAATTAAAACAAAGAATGCAATGCATAATCATGATAAAAATCATGGACAAGTTTCTATTAAAAAAAAGTAAGTCAACTGAGGTTTAATATGCAAATACTTTTTAAAAATCTCACTAAAAACGAGTAATAGCGACATTTTAAAGCTAGATATAAACTCTTTTTAATGTTTAAAAGAAAAATAGGGAACCTTTTAAAAGTATGAGAGTTTTAAGTTAAATGATTTATTTTATTTTATTTTTCAAGTGGACAAAGGACGCAAAGAGGAGGATTTAATGCATTACAAAGGGCACTAATAAACTCTTTTATAAACATTTACCTAAATCTTAAATATGACATCACATTGATAATATAAAACAAATTGTTACAACTACTTACTAGTCGAAGATAGACCCACAATAGAGGGGGTAAACAAAGGTGAACAATGGTTAATCCCCGAAGTCAATATTTACATTTGGGATTAAGTCTACGGGGAACGTGAGGGAACAATAGACGGGGATTTTAGCGTGTGATTTTTCGGCTGCCTGGGGGTAAAATCGGGGCGTTTCCCTAAGGGGTGAGGCGGAAAGGGCGCGGTCGCCTCAGGGGGTGAGGTCGGTCCCCGGCTGTACTTGTCGCGCCGCGTCGAACGGCGCAAACCCCGAGCCCGTGGGACCAGGGGTTCTCGAGATAGGGGCGACAGGCGAGGGGGGTTTATTTCCCCAGTAAACAGGCAGACGGCAACAATATAGGCAACGATCGATGTAGATATAAAAAACTCTTAAACACCAATGTCGGAAAAAAATTAACTTAGATTCGAGAGAAAATTGTTAAAGAACCCGACCGACTAGCAGCTATACATACTGTATCTATCTAGCTATCTATCTATCTATCGAAGTACGTAGGTTTCGAAGTTTACGTAGAAAATACTAAAAACGAGATCAAACTTATGTACTATACTCGAAATCGCAAAAACCTAGGCTTCAGTTATGAGAGTTTTATTAATTATCGCCCAATGCAATATTTTCAGCCGCACCCGAACGGAGGGGTCCGCGTCTATCCTCACAATATATTTAACTGGCCAAGTAGGCGATGTAGACTTCAAATAGATCCTATATATCATAGCATTTCGTTTAATATTGCATCTGCGTTTTGTTTGCTCATACACACGAACTATTATTATATGGCCGCGTCTCAGTACTAAATAAATATGCTATGCTGCGATGCGATCTGATTGTATATTGTCAAGATGAAATAATATTAAAGTGGATGGATTAATAATTTGTAAGACCACCATAAATGTTAGCCCGTTCAGTTTAGGTTTTAATGTTTCGATACGATTCCAATAACAATTTATATTGCCATAATTGCATCATTTTCGATCATATGCCAAATATGGTCGTCTACAGTACATTTGCATGTTTATTGTTTTGATTGGTTGTTTTTCTTAAACCAGACAGAGTACTCAAGTATAAGTATATAAAGAAAGGATTATCAAAATTTGTTTTCTGTAAAAAAAATTTGCTCTGCCAGTTAAAGCAGTATTATTTTAACAATATGGGTGATGATAGAATGTCTTGTGACTTGACAAAAACTATGATTCTCATTGAGATGCTTCTCTCTAAGACATTTTTAAACCCTGAAATTCAATGGTCAGGAACAACCTTTAATCGTGATCATTTCAGTTCAGATAATGAGGCAGAACAACAAACCGTGGATGGTGTATTAAAAATTACAGCCAATTTTAACAAGTCGCTGATATTCTTGGACTTCATGAAACCAATGTTGAAAATACTCAATGTCATATCAGAAACCATGATAAAGAACTGTATTCGCTGTGTTCTAGGAAAATCAAATATTGAACGATGCAAAATATCATTTATTCATGAAAGCGAAGATGACACCAGCACTGATGCTAAAGTTGATGACCCTAAAAAGAGCAGACTTTGGGAGGTTACCAAGTACGTCGATGATGATGGAATTACTAAAAAGATGACTTTTTCACTTAAATATTGTGGACTTTTTAAACCGATCTTTGACCAATCAGAACTGAAACAAATGTATACAAATCAGATCGAAATCATTAAATTGCTTATCCCCGAAGCTGTATTCAATGTTTTAGGAGATGACGCATTCTCATCTGAGAGGTGGGTTTTCGATACTTACGAAGAGGGACTAGATTTGACACTCGCTGCCGATTTAATTAAAGCGTGTTTTTAATAAAATATCGATGATGAATAGTTGTATGAACATAAAGTCACGAGAGATGCTAGGTTATTACACCTTCTAGGGTCGGCTTTACATTGAGTTCAATGGTGAAAGCTTGCAATAAACACTTAATTTCATGATTTATCAAAGAGTGTTGGTTGTATCTATCTGAAACTTGAATGGCGTACTGTTGGATGACCCTGTCAATGTACATATTGTGATTTAACATGAAAATTGCTGGAAAACACATAAATTTTATTTAGAAATAAAATGATTTAAAAAAATGTATTTTAAACCATGTTCGTGTTTGATGAAATATATTGGGCTCAACCCATGTTTAACGAAGTTGCAATTTTAAACATTAGAAAGCCCCCCCCCCTGGAGTTTTTGAATGGAACAAAGTATTTCACCTAGTATGCATCGTGTTAACATTCACTATATAGCAATATTTAATAAGGGAAATTGTAAATGGTGGGGCGCATTTCAAAATTCTAATTAAAGCAAAGAGAATTAACAAACAATTGGAGGTTATGTCACACTCGCCCTTTGAACGTTATGTAAAAAGGCAAAACTGAAAATGCCCGTTAGAAAAATGTTTGAGAATAAATAAACAAACATTAACGGAATTTGAATCTAAACATTAGAAGTCCCCTGGAGTTTGAATGGAGCAAAGTATTACGTCTATGGTGTTAACATTCGGTATATAGCAATCTTTTAAAATAAAATTGTAAATGGGGATACACATTCCAAAATTTAAATTAAAAAAGCATTGAGAGTTAACAAACAATTAATGTTTGGCAAAGCTGAATATAATATTTAAACGTAGTAATGAAGCTGTAATTTGATACACGAGAGAAGAAATTCAATACATTTTAATCAGAAATGAATTTAAATATGCGTGATGTGAACGGAAGTAACTGTTTGAAGTATTAACGCAACAATTGAGATCTAACGATTGGACGTTTACTTTCGATCTCACTCAGTTTAATTCTCCGAGTTAAAACTTTTACAAGTATGTACACTCTCCTCCAAAAGTTTGGTAAACGGGAGTTTTTTTTATCAGATTGTATACCGTAGCCTGTCGATGTTTAAATATCTTAATTTTTGTTTTGTTTTTCTTAATTACGTCAGCTCATAGTAAAATTAAATTAAATTTCTTTAAAAATATAATTGGCACTTTAAAGGCGTACAAAAAAGGGAAACTTTTGTTTTTGGTTTCTGGACCTTGCTGTATGGAAGGGAGTGTATCATTTTAAAAACATGCAACTTCATAAGTGAAAAATATTAGGTCTGTTAAAAATGGCCGACAACGAGCTTATAGATAAGGTGCTATCTATCCACGATGTATCTGAATTGCAAAGATTTGCGAGGCAAAATGATATTCCTGAAAACGATCCAATTATTTACATGAGATTCAACGAATTGTTGATACAAGAAGACGATTCTTACTTGCAAATGAATAACGAAGATGCACAACTTTTTACTAGACTGAATCAAATACATTCTATCGAAGAGGTACAGTAGGGGTTTCAAAAATGGTCGAAATGACAATAGTACTTGCTTTGTTGTTTTAATGTTTAGTGAAAGGAATACATGAGATAAACTATAAAAATATTAAAAATACACGGTCGTGTAAATCGTTAATTGGGATGTGTAGGTGAATTATAAGTATTTGAATCATCATGTATTCTTGTCAAATATTTCGCATTTTATTTAATTTTAATTTTGTATCTTTCACAATTACATTTGGTACAGCTTAGCATTGATTAAACATCTACTCATTCTACAATTTTAAAACATTCTACGATTGATCAATTTTCAATTTCTTTTTTTATAATTTCATAAAACAGCTCGATGATTTGAATGTTGACCATCCCTTTCTACGCTTGAGGAGAGAGGAATTACTAGAATCGTCTGTTCCGCAAGCTGACAATTTATCACTGCACGTTTCTATGGAAATTGATGATGATGTATCCCTAAATCAGCAGGGGGGTGCACTTTATGACAGCGCGGATATGAATGACTATTATAGTTTGATAGAAGTACAACAAAAACACAGTGCCTATTTCAATGCAAATTCTACAGCTTATACATTAGAATTATTTCCACCAGAAGAAATAAATAATGATATTGCAAAGATTTTACAATTCTTCGATGCACTTATGACAGATATCATTCACACTGTCATGTTGACATACGATGGAAACGACAGAGTTAGATTCATGATGGACTCCGTCAATTTATTGGCTCCTATTACAACAGGATTCATCACGAAAGACAATTTGACGTCAGGTCGTGTTTTAGACGCAATCGAACGAGTTTGTCAGTCCAAAATGGACATATTCGGCGACGAAATGTTTACCTTATACGTCGACGTAATTCGGGCACCTTTGGGTGGCTATTTTAAATCATCTAAGTCCACCAAGCCATTAGATCACGATTCTTGGATGGCTAACAGTAAATGTATCATACCAGCGAAAAATTTTCAAACCGAAATTTGCTTTGGTGCAGCCCTTGCGATAGCCAAGGCCAAGAGCGATCTTAAATCGGGTCTTATTGACATGTTTTCGTACAGAAGAATCAGGGATAATAAATGCGATATGCAAGAAACAAAAGCACTTGAACTTTACAAGAAAGCAGGTGTCCCAGTTGGTGCGTGCGACTTTAGCACATACGACAAATTCATGAACATCCCTGAACTTAATGATTATCAGCTAAAAATCATTGCAGGGGACAATTTGTTTCTGAAGGAAATTTACTGCCGGGGCCCTAACGTAGGACTCATTCAAGATAAAGCGCTTGCTCTTTACCTTAGAAATGGTCATTATTCTGTGATTACTAGCCTCATCGCTTTTTACAGATGCAAATCGTACTGTTATAGCTGCAATAAGGCTCTTCAAATTCCATTATCACGGCACAGATGCCTCGCCCACTGCCCCTTATGCGAATCCAAAAGTGGCTGTAAAAATAAAAAGCCTGACTACAAATTATGCAGTTTTTGCAATATCGCATTTTTAAATGCAACTTGCTACGATAATCATATAGTAAGTTTACAAAACGTCAATCATATTATAAGTTTTACCATCATTAAAAATAAGATAAATTAGATAATGTTTTTTAAAAAATTTCAAAATACTATCCCCCCCATTCCCTTATGTTTTTAATTGTATAAAGCTTAGGCTAATTTTTTTTCCTTTTTCTAATTAAATCGCGTGTTTACAGGAGCAAAATGTTTGCGAGCGCAAGAGAATTTGCCCAAAATGTCGAAGATTATATCTATTAAACGAGGTCAGATACGAAGAAGACGGTCGTCCTTCAACCAAGACACATGAGTGTATGGAAGGGAGGTAAGTATGCCATTGTCAATTTTACACATAAATTCGATCCGACTTTAAAAATCAAATCCAGGGTTTGATATAAGTCCGCTTGTAACACAAAATGGTATTTGTTTATTTTTGCAAAGCTATTGCGTCAACATGAATTCGTGTTCAAGCATTTTTCGTTGCTTAGAGATGCGCATTTTGGAGACCAGAGATTGGTCAATGAAATGGGTTTGTTGACTTTACCCCACACTTGGATGCAGTATAAAATACAGAATCGCGTTAAATCTTTCCACTTTTTTCAAGGCAAAAACTTGAAAAATTTAGACTCATCTGCCGTATTGGTGTTCAACTTATAAGTTAACAAGTCAACTTCAAGTTAAAGTTAAATTCAAGTTCAAAATGGCACAAAATAAGCAAACGGTAATTGTGCGATACAGTGTTGGCGCGACGTTTTTCGTCGCCGCAGTTCAACAAAAAAAGAGCTTCTATATGAGAGTAGAGAACTCGGAAGAAAACTTTTGCATTTCCGAAATGTGCTTAAGAAATCTATCGGTAAAGGAGGGGGACGTCCGAGAGGCGCTTGAAAACGCCTCCTTTCTACCGGTAGAGGTGGAAATAGGAACAGGGGTTAAACTTCATATATCAAAGGGCGTTGTGCGTCTACAACGCCACAGTGAAAAAAGAAAAAAAATCTTGGAGGAAATGTCGTTGCCATCAAAATGTTTCGTGGAGGTGCTAGACGCTTTAGGGGCGTTGAAAATTGCCATTGATGAATGCCGCAGGCAGACGCAGGCTGCAAAAAAACGAAAGGCGGAGACCCTCTTAAATTCGTCTTCGGACAACGATTTAGATGTCGTGAAACGATCCAAGAGCAGACCAAGGAGGGATCAAGGGGATGATCTCCCGTGTAAAATAGATCTGAAGAATATGTTGGTGAGTAAAACATTTTGCCTTTTAATAAATTATTTTTATCACGTGAAAATATTAGGACAAAATTGAGAAAAAACATAACAAAAATATGTGAGCAATATTTTTCAAAAGAATAATAAACATAAAAATTAAAGTAGAAAACGTACAAACTAAATATCTTATTTAACTATACCATAGCTGAATATTTTACATTCTAAATAATTGGTCTAAATAATTTGTCTGAATAATTTACTTGCATATTCAAATGTACGTAACAATATTAGATCATGTAGAAGCTATTTGATTCAAATACTGAATTTATTACAATATCTTGAATTTTTTTTATTATTTTATTTTCAGAAATCTACGCCTAGAAAAAAGCTAGACAGATGGGAGTCCGAAGAGGACTCATTGACGAACTCCCAACTGCAAGAGGTTAGTAATATGTTTAATGATTACTAGGATAATTAAAGGAAATATCATGTGTAATGCATCAATTGATAATTAAAATAAAAAAAGGGTTAGTAAAAACTGAATTTAACTTTGTTTTTCTCTAAACCATTTCTTGAAAACATTCTGCAAAAACACTGTTTTTTAAGTAATGGTCACTAATTGACAACAATTTAATTTTTGATTATTATTTACCATAATTATAATTATAAACCATTTAGCGAATTAACACTAGCTATTTTCTTACTTGTGGATTTTAGGTGTTCAACATCAGCGGAATCGAAATGTTTCCTCCTACCCCACCCCAGCAAGCCTCCGCCAATGCAGCTAGCGCCCCTAGCCAGCCACCAACCATTTCGAATACGAAGACGGGGTTTCAAAAGGCGACAGCTAGCGCCCATAGCCAAGCGACCATTTCGACTGCGGGGGCTAAGCCTCAAAAGTCGACATCTAGCGTCCCTAGCCAGCCGTCGACCAGTTCGAATACGAAGACGGGGTCTCAAAACCCGACAGCTAGCGCCCCTAGGCAGGCGGCACCCCAACTGCCGTTCCATAACGTCCCCGGACACCCATCCAACTCGAATACAGGGGTGTGGACTCGAAAACCGACAGCTAGCGCCCCTAGCCAGCCTCAGACCAGTTCAAATACGAAGACGGGGTCTCAAAACCCGACAGCTAGCGCCCCTAGGCAGCCTCAGACTAGTTCGAATACGAAGACGGGGTCTCAAAACCCGACAGCTAGCGCCCCTAGGCAGGCGGCACCCCAACTGCCGTTCCATAACGTCCCCGGACACCCATCCAACTCGAATACAGGGGTGTGGACTCGAAATTGAGTACGTTTTGAAATGCAACGAGTACACAAAGAATCGTTTCTGCGGCGTCTACCCTAGTGATAAGATTCCTATGTTTACTTCCGGCCTTTCCTGCCAAATAATTGTCGCCAATAGTCAGAGATCGAATATGCCAGGAAAACATTGGCTATTATTCTTAGTACCTAAAGATGTCCACTCAGATATCTACTTTGTGGACTCATATGGGAAAAATGTGGACTTTTACAACTCCGACATCGGTCGGTACGCACATTTGTCGGATAGAAAGGTCCGGCATACAGGGATTACTCTACAAGGGTACGACACGAACGTGTGCGGCCAGTACACTATATATTTCGCCGTAGAATGGAGCAAAGGAAGGTCTGTGGAGGACATATTAACGGACTTTTCTGAAATCACTCAAATGAACGATGCTCTCGTAGAGAGATACGTCAATACTCTTCCATTTTGCTGCCCTGGATCCAGGAAAGGACAAACTTGTAAAACTAAGCGATCGTATGAAAATTAAGAAACTAGTGTACTAGTGAACTTGTAAAAATTAGCACTATAAGGACTACTGTATATTTATTATATTATATCGATAGTGTTAAAGAGTACGTAGGGTCCAACTGAATGTGTATAATATATATGTATATACTGTATAACGTAGTAAACTTGCTAGCATAATAATAATTATTTTAGGTAGACACTGTACCATTCCCTTCTTCTTTTTTGAAATAAAAATAAAAATTAGATTTTAGTCTTACAACGTTTTTTCTTGTTACTACAATCGTCAGTGGGCTATATACAGTTATATTGTCGCCGTCTGCCTGTTTACTGGGGAAATAAACCCCCCTCGCCTGTCGCCCCTATCTCGAGAACCCCTGGTCCCACGGGCTCGGGGTTTGCGCCGTTCGACGCGGCGCGACGAGTACAGCCGGGGACCGACCTCACCCCCTGAGGCGACCGCGCCCTTTCCGCCTCACCCCCTAGGGAAACGCCCCGATTTTACCCCCAGGCAGCCGAAAAATCACACGCTAAAATCCCCGTCTATTGTTCCCTCACGTTCCCCGTAGACTTAATCCCAAATGTAAATATTGACTTCGGGGATTAACCATTGTTCACCTTTGTTTACCCCCTCTATTGTGGGTCTATCTTCGACTAGTAAGTAGTGTTACAATTGTTATAAACAAAACAAATTGTTACAATTTATTTTTCATCATCAATATAAATTATTTTATTTCTATTTTTCTGTTCTTTTAAAACTACAATGATTTTAGAAACAAAATTAATTAATTCAGCATTTGTGGCATCCTTTCAAATCCTCGATCAATACTGCTTTATACTGCATTCAATATAATTTGAAAATTTTATCTACCAATTTCAAATTGTTAAATAAATGATATTCATCATCGTAAGGACAATAGACTTTTCTTGCAACATCACCCACATACCACCCAATATAAAAATCTCAACTCAAGAACCTTATTATTTGTTTTACAGGAACAGAACCCACCTACGTTAATTCTACAAATAACCCATCTGGTGATTATGCCAGAAATAATAACTTTGTAATACCTCTGACCGTTTTGGTACTTCTTGTAATCAAATATTTTGAGAAAAGACAATCAAATATACAGTCTGTAATTGCGCTAAATATGGGCAGTGTTTATAACGAAAACAAATGAAGTGTAAATGTAAAATGTAAATGATATTAAATACATGAACATTAGTACATGATATTGTACTAGTTTTCTAATCATTATCAAATTAGACGAGCACAGCTTTAACACTTTTATGACACGCGACAATAGAACTGGTGTTAGTGATCCCCAATATTTACATAGATAAACAATACACACGCCTAAAAGTTACTGAGCAAAATGTGTTAACATAACACTCTTGTTGTACTTGTATTGAACTACGCATCACTAAACTAGCAAGATGAATACTTTATGTGCAATGAAACTCTGCAAATGTTCACCTAATATGGACTTCATAGAATGTCAAAATGTAGCAATGTGTCATGAGTTCCCTCAAAGAATCATTGACAGTGTCCAGCTAGGAAATTGTGTAGCTAAAATGCATGAAACAACTACAGCAGAACAACATGATGATACATCAATAGTGAACAAAGGTTGGATTATACCTATCTATTTCTTGTGGAGTACTGTTGATTCTGGGTAAGTGGTGGCTCACACCTTTTTTATATATGACCTTCATGTTTTCAAAAAATGATAACAAATCTTTGAATATTCATTAAAATAAATAGGTGTGTACATCGCCTTTCAGTGATTATCATTTGTTGTGTCAGTCGAAGATGCCGTACCTGGCTAAACGGACCAATGACACATACGTACAGGATGGGTAATGTAGATAACACCATGGGTGTCAACACCAGTGGTTTCGAGAAATGTCAGGCAACGGCAGACTTCCAAGGTGAATCGTCAGACGAGGAGGTCATTTTTAAGTGAGTAATATCACTATAAAGGATTGTTAAAATCTGTACTTTATGTCTTAAAGTTTTATATATCATTTTTCTTTTGATTAAATATATCAAATAACGTACTGTTAATTATAAGTGCTTTATTCTATAACAATATATTAATAACATGCATATCTTTACAATTGTTGAGTAAAGACCAGAATACATATTTTATATTTACAGCCTTCATTCTCGACTGGACAACGTCGATACATCAACAGAGCAGTATTTTGATACTTCGACCAGTGTATGAGCTTAAACATGAACATATACCCTCTTCCTATTAGTGTAGGGGTTTTACAAGGACAGAGCAGTACTTTGATACTTTGACCAGTTTATGAGCTTAAACACTCTGTTGACCGGCTGGTGCAACAAATACCAGTCTACACGGAAAGACCGTGTGCGCGTGCACGAAGCCAGCTGCAGGAACAACACAAACCAGGGAACTATCGATAACACAAACCAGGCAGAATGCAGTCAGACCTCCAGTGATGATCTCCCAGTGGAGATGCAGCCATGGAGGAACTGACCAGTGACATAGCGGTGAAGAGGACATTGGTGGAGGTCCTAGCCGAGTCTGATGAAGACATCAGAATGCTGGATCGGCTAGGACTCAAAATGGTTGCTGTCCACTTTGCTACATACGAAAACGGTGTGAAGAAAGCAGTGAAAACCGTTTCACTAAAAGACTTAATCAGTTTAACTGCATGTAAAAATAACATATGAGGATTAATAAAACGTGTGACTCTGGATATCAATGATTAGTGGAAGTATAAAAATGAAACATGAAAATCAAACCAGGCCCAAAGGGCACTCGTTTTGTGGTCTGGCACCAGTATTGGTGGAATTACACAAAAAAATAAAACTGCATGCAAAATATGTGAGACGATTATGCCTTACTCTATGGGGACATGCAGAAATGAAACCACAGTACTAAGTTTCAACATCAGGATGGCTAAATTGCTCTTTAAATCAAAGTATTTCATGCTGAACAGTAGAATGTAGGGAAAAAATAAGAAAACCTCACCGATACAACCAAGAAAGCTTACGAGCTTTTCTTAAAACAATAACAGTGTTATACCTTGTGAAGTAGATGAATTATATTTTTTTAAATGTCAAATAAATATTAATTTAATATCGAATTGAATGGATTTCAGCATTGGTTGCTTTTTCAAGTGAAAAAATGTAGAAGTTGAGAAAGTGGCGACGGCTCTCAATGAAGCATGGCCATCCGGATCATCTGGCTCTGGCAACAATATTTCAAATGAGACAGATCTGTATGCTAGTAGGCTCATTTGCAATGGTGACACAAAAACCTTGCTGGCATTGTTAAACATGAAAACAATTAACAAGATGCTAGAGACTGCTTAAACACCAATAAAAGACTTGATACATTGGCTATAAGTACATGTAGTATAAATTGAATATATTCAACAATCTTACCAAAAATATAATTGCGTCTTATCACTTAATTTCCCTATTAAATTCTTATATTTGGTTGTGAAATAAATATAAACACATTTATGTTATATGTTCTGTTCACTTATTTTGATCCAATTCTCCTTTTATTGACCAAAAAAATAATGCCAAAAATAAATAAAAAATATTTTTGAAATTATTGATTTCCAGTTTGATCAAGAGGCCAGACAGTCTCACACAACAGTACTGAATATAAAATTGTCATCACAGATGCCATATTCAGGAAGGCTGCAATAGCGCCATCTGTTTTAATGAGCATAGAACGTTCGCTGGAGACCAAGAACTGTTCTTATTCCTTCGACAGACGCGATGTCAAAGTGTTTCAATTAACCAGCAGCAGCTTTACATTTTGTTTCAAAGATGTGTTCATGGGCGACATCCCCTCCATGATTTATTGTATGCTGATCAATTCGAATACAGTGGCTCTATGAAACTGAACCCATTTAACATGAAGCTCTACAACCAAGTTTGCTATGTGACCTTGCCCTTGGTGTTCCTCCAGCTTCTGGTAACTCAGACAAGTATACATTCTACTGTCAGAAACTTGAGAAATAATTGACTCTTTCACATGCTGCTGCCCAAAACAACATATACTTGAACAGCAACAGACAAAAATGCCTTTATGATGTTAAGGCAGAAACAAAAGTTTACACACCAAATGATGCTGTGTGGCTCAACAGCTCTGTTGTAAATCCTAGCACAACTCCAAAGTTTCTAAATCCCTGGACTGGGCCATATTAAGTCCTTGAACTTGCCTCCAATTTGGTTACCAAAATTCTAGATCAAAATGATAAAATCAAGGTAGTACACAAAAATAGATTGAAACCTTTCTGGGCATTTGCCTGGGTGGTTTTCATCAGGAGTCCTCAGGGAGTGTGCAAAATGATATTTTCCCAATCTGACCCAATTGCAATCTTGAAACCTAATAAGCGTGTCCGAAAACCCTCTGCATGGTTACATGACTACGCTCTTGAATAAATGTTATACTTAATTTAAAAATAAATTTCAACTAACCTTTTGCTTACTATGTAAGCATTATCAGGTGCATGTGCATCCACATTTACCTTCCCTTGATTTTTTCCAGATGAGACTACACATGTGCCAGGAGGTGGTGAATGGCAAACCATGTGGTGCGGCCTTTACCATACATCCAGATCTACACCAGCACTACGAAAAACATCATACAAGGGCAATTCCTTTTTCGGAATGAGGAAAAGTCTATGAAAGTAAAAAGAGTCTATGAAAGTAACAAGAAACTTAAGAAGCATATGCAAAATTCACACGGAGAATGTTGGACCTGTCTCCAGTGTGGCTGGACTCGTCCCACTTATTTTCCAAATAAAATAGGTGATCACTTGAAAACCCACTCTTTAGCCCCTGCTCTACCTAACATTCCCAGTCTGCTGGACCTTGACCTTGGTTCAGGGATGTTAAACTTGATGGGATCAACATCCAAAGACCTGGACAGGATAGCACCATCAATCCTGGACAGTTCAACGCTATCATAGGCCCCCCAGTCTGATATAACGAACCTGGTCGAGATTGTGCCTACTCAATCTCCCATCCCTAAATGAAGAAAAAAGGGGGCAAGAACCTTTGTAGTGGTCCTCCAGAGGCTTGAATCAATAAATGTACATGTAATTCTATAATTGTTATACATGTAGTAGAAAATGATATAGCATTCATAATTTCTTTGTTATAGGAGGCAATCGATAGCTTGCCGGAGGATGAGGTGAGAGAGTTGCTGAGACAAACTGCCATTCAGCACCCTGGTGTGTTCCATAGTGTAGTAACAGCAGCAAGTGCCAGTAAAGATCCACAACATCCTAGCCCCAGACCAGAAGGAAGGATTTCAACTTAAGTTTCTATTTGCCTACTTTTGATCAAGATAATTACAGTCAGATGCCAGAAGGTAGTAACCGGTTTTGCCACCAGGTGGCTTAGTCAGGGGGAAATATCATGGCAGGGTATTTCAAAGTTCCCTTGAATATTCATCAGTTTATGTGGTTCACTTTTCATATTACTCCTATGTATCAGATAGTTTCAAATTAAAATGTCCAGGAAAAGAAAATATTATATGTCCAACACAAGAAAAAAAAAATCACTTTTTCTGATTTTACAACATCAACAACTGCCCGGGAGGTATCCCAAGAGGCCTCATACAAACATCAAATGCAACGCCCCTGAGAAAGAAACTTCTGACATTGCCAAGGCGTTACATCACTGTAGCGACCAACTTACAGAAGGTACTACTCTCCATAGTCAGAATAGACTTGAATACCACAGGCAACAAACCTTAGAAACCATCAAAACACTAGCAACAACCACTGGCCATGTGGAGGCGGACAAATTGGCTGAACAATACAGACGAGAGGCTTCCAAACAAAAAGAAGAAAACCAAGCAAAAAACCTTGTGGAAAGAGACAGTAAAATAAAACTATTTTAAAAAATACAACTCCGGCCCTTCTCAGGGCCACAAACCTCTACCAAAAGAGCAATTGAACATTTATGAATTAAAAAGTATGAATGTGTACAACGTATGAAATGTATATACGTGTATGGAAACTACCAAACATGTTAACCCATACCTAAATTGACCCTTCTGAAACTTATAAAACTAACTTTAAAAGCAAACAACACTTCCACTACTAGTGCCAACCAAAACACACCAAACTTTTACAATTCTAACCTGCAAACCATTGCCCGTACTTCGGAACACACACACGTGTATACATTAACAATCTCCCGTTCTCCTTTCCCCCTCCCCATTTCCAAAGCCGCTATCGAAGAACACATCATGGACTACCACCCATGAAACATCTTGTGCTCTTATGAGACACATATAAGAGAGATGGTCCACTACAGGACTGGGATGTCCGGCCATCCTCACAAAAACAAACAAAAAACAAAATTGTAGAGGTTACATTACGTCCATAATATTGTCATCAGAATAGCGTAGTACCGGAAGCTGTAAACATGCATCGTCCGGTATTAGGATTTTTTGGCATAATCATATTGAGTATCATATGTGTTTCAACTGGATACAAATGTGCTTGCAGCATACCAGAGGCATGCAATAATGTAAGTGCTGCGGAAATAGGGAAGATGCCAGTTACGGAGCCAACTGTGAACCGTCGAGAAACTGCTTCTTAGTGTCGGGCCAAGTGTATTTTGGAAACTGCGCCATATTAGGTAAGTTAGATTCAAGTAGGGGGAGAAGATTTAGGCGGAGATTACAAAAATGACAAAGGAGATCAGCTATCAAACGAGGTTGTCATCACCATACAAATTGTTGTGCCTTTAACAGTGTTTGTGTCAACAATAATTGGTAAGATTTTGCATATGGATAATATTATAATATAAACGTGAAAAAAGATAAGTGTAAGAAAAAAGAACAAACCAAAATGTGGCTTGCTTCAACGAAACTGGTTGTTTTATGTATCGTATTGCATTTGATTTGAATTAATTATTCGGGTTAATTTTGTAATTTCAGGATGAGTGATAGGAATTTGGAAGAAATGCCTTTGCAAACCTAAAAAGAGAGCGGCAGTCCCTGCGGACTCAGAATTTTGGAGCGTGACAAGAGAGAATGAAGACGATTCTTCGCGTAGTATCACCAGCTCGCAGGCCAGCTCTGCTTCTATAGAAAACGCACCTGTAACCGAGAGAACTAGAAGCAAGGTTTCTCTGCAATCAACAACAAGTTTCATTTAGATGTCACTCATATTTGTTCAACGTGAAAATATATCAGATAACGTTAACTCGGTTAATTTCTGTTAGGAATGTTTTTATTAGGGCCGAAGTTATTAAGTGGACAGCGTTGGTATTATTGTATGACATTAGGAATACTTATTGACATAGGGTAAGGTTTGTATAATTACAGGAGATGAGAAGGGGGTAAGGGGTAATGTAACCCCTAACACTTACCTTGAGAAAAAATGTGAAAAAAGTGAGGAAAAAAATGTATACAGCACTTTCTCAAAGTGCGGCAAAATTGACACTCTAATCAATTTTCAAAACATCACTTACCTTGCAAATGTGTAAAATGTATACAGCACTTTCTCAAAGTGCTGTAATATAAATGTAAGCACTAAATTCTATTAACTTACCTTGACAATTACAACTGCTTTGTGAAACTACACTTTTTTATTTATTCATTAAATAATAATCTATAATCTTTAGTTATAGTATAGATGTTTTTCAACTTGTCAGACTTTTACCACAGATAAATGGTAAAAGCACCTTAGTTTCTGTGAATGTAAAGACCATTAGCCTATAACACATTTAGAGGAGACATAGTCAGCTTTGTACCCGAAAAACACGGACCTATTTCTGGATATTTATATCTCTAATTTCCAAAAGATATTTGAGATCTCTGTACTTCATCCATTTTGGGTTGAACACTTGTGACATCAGTATTACAATGTCCATCCACAGTGATGTAACACCTGGAGCCATCAGCTCGTTCCAGGATTATGTGAGTTAGTATGGTGTCAACCATCCCTCAGCAAGATAGGATCTTATTCATTGCAGATTCAGGACCATACCTCTGAAAAACAATCATTCTTGTACTTGAGCGAAGTCATTAAAAACTAGATTTTGGAAATTGAACGAAGTTCAATTTCAGACTCCAGATCTAGACTTTTTTTAGCCGAGTCATCCAGAATAAGCCGAGTCATCCAGAATAAGCTGAGTCATCTAGAAAGAGATGGATAAATAAAATAGGAAGGTAGGATAGAATAGGAAAGAACGATAGGATAGAATAAGAAAGAAGGATAGGATAGAATAGGAAGAAAGGATAGGATAGGATAGGAAGGATAGGAAGGAAAAGATATGAAGGAAGGATAGATAGGAAGGATAGGGTAGGATGAGATAGGAGGATGGATGAATTTTTCAATATTTTCTTCTCTACTCTTGACTTTCTATCAGGATACCATCAGATCGATTTTTCTCGAAATTTCAAAACGCTATCACTTCCGAACCGGAAGTCGGATCGAAATTTGGTTTGCAGATTCGGATTCCTGACAAAATTCTTCCCCTAATTCATAACTCATACGTTAAATTTGGAGATTTTTTATTTTGACCTACTTTTCGGACACGCCATAACTTCCGAACCGGAAGTCGGATCGAAATTTGGTTTGCAGATTCGGATTCCTGACAAAATTCTACCCTTAATTCATAACTCATATATTCAATTTGGAGAACTTTTTATTTTGACCTACTTTTCGGACACCATATCTCAAAGGTGGGTCAAAATACTTTCTGACGGCAAAAGGCTAACACTATTAGCATATTCTTGGCTACATGTATACACAATTTCGAAGAATATAATTAAAGTGTAGTGTCAGAATCGAAAAAATAAGGAAAACCTATGAATTTGACCTAGATTTTGACCTAGGCATTTCGGTGTCCAAATTGTGAAGCTAGATGGCTTTTGAGGTCCCCTTCTTTTAAAGGCTTTGATTATATGAAGCTGAACTCAGTCTATATGCCGTATTTTTCACTTCAAAAAAATATTTTTTCCCATTGACTTAACATGGGCACCAAATTTAGCGATTTTTGAGTTTTCAAAACGCCATAACTTCCGAACTGGAAGTCGGATCGAAATTTCGTTTTCAGATTTGGAATCCTGAGAAAATTTCCTATAAGACTAATATCCTGGACATTTGATTCGGAGAACTTTTTTTTGGACCTCGTTTTCGGACACTGATATCTCGAAATCGGTTTGAGATATCAAAAAACTAAATCGACCCTAGGTTTCCTACTTTTTTATAAGGAACACAATGAAAAAAAACCGGATTGAAAATATTGAAGGACGACCGAGAAAATCGAAAAAAGTGACAAAGTACTGGATTTGACCTAGTTCTTGACCTTTGACCTAGATAAAAATTTGACCCAATTTCCGAGGAACTAGATACTGGACATAAATTGACTGAATAATGATCTTTATTGGAAGCCTTATGGTTATCGAGAAAACTGGGAAAGAATAATAAAGAATAATAATAATAATAAAGAATAAGAATACTGACGAAAACAATAGACTCCAGATTGACATCTGGAGTCTAATAATTATAAGGTAGATTATACGTGTGATAAGGATTTTGATGTTATTTTTCAGGATCATATTAATTAATGAGTGATGAAATGGGCACACACATTTACTCATTCTAGTAGAAGATCAAGATCTAAATGTATATTTGTAATAATTTCTCCCAATTTTTCTACTTTTGATATACATAGAATATATACACGAGCTTGTAAAACCAAAAGACCAATGGACATTTTATTCAAACTGACAACACATATTGGAATTTAAAATACATATGTGTATGATATCTATGCTTTTTAAAATAGTTTTAATTTTCAATGCTGGAGCATGACTAATTCTAAATTCCCTAACCTAGTCTTGTATTGAATCCATGAGGACCACAATCTCCTATCATTTAGTACTTCACCTAATGATGGGATGATGATGTATTGAAGTCAAGGGGGCAAAGACTTAATGCAGAACTAAATTAATCACAATAGTTACCAATGGTGCAAATGGACCCACAGACTGACTGTATCTGCGCATAGCTTCACGGATCTCTGCAGGCTGTATGGCATTTGATGTTGTCAACTCTGCAACTGTACTAGATCCACTCTGCAATACACATGGAGAATGTGGAATTAAAATGTAATAAAATATGTAATATAAAGCACAGACTATATCTGCGCATAGCTTCACTGATCTCTGCAGGCTGTATGGCATGTGATGTCGTCAACTCTGCAACTGTACTAGATCCACTCTGTAATACACATGGAGAATGTGGATTTAAAAGGTAATAAAATAAGTAATATGAAGCACAGGCAAAATGCTGATGTTGGATGATGTCTTGGTATGATAACCATAGATGAGAATGTCTGATATAAACACAACTAACTTAAGATTTGTAGTTTAGAATAAATCGTATTCTGTCAGGGCTTTGTCAGCTGAGGAAAGTATTTCTGTTCACACTACTTTTTCAAACAATTCATTTGTCAAGATAGGTTTTTTCAACACTATTGAATAAAATACCTATAATTATAATAAAGTAAAAATAATTTCAAACCTTCTTCCTCTTTTTGTTCTTTGAGCTGGACATGCTGCCTCCTAAAGAAGACATGCTACCCAGTGAGGCACTCAATCCAGAGTGGGCGGGGCTAGTTGGTGTCTGAGGTGGAGTCTACAACAGATTGACAAGCCTCATAATATGCAAGAATTTTACATTAAGAATATGTAATAATATAAAGAGCATTTTAATTTCAAATTATCAGTTACTCAGGGCCTAGAGGAAAAAGAATCAAGAAAATGAGGAGATAATACATATAATAAGATTTCAGGAGTTTTAGTAACAGGCATCGAAATATTCCCAGAAGTTAGCTTCACTTTTCAATAACTTTACTGGAGTAGAAGTTAGCTTTAGTTTTCTAACTTTCTTTACTTGACATCGGGATAATTGTTCATACTTGAGTAGGAGTTGATGGTTCCATGTGGCCACTAGCTGGTTCCTGGTCATGGTTCTTAATCACTGGGGGAAGCAATTGTTCAAATGGATCATCAATCTTTGCAGACATGTCACGCTTTACTATCAGGGATAGGTCAACAATCTGGAAGAAAATTAGGAAATTTAATTAATTATCAGATACAAAAGTGAACAAAAATATAAGTGTTAAAAAAGATGAATCTAGCTTGAATACTAATCTACTAATAGCTAAAATACATTCCAAAAATATAAGTAAAGTATAGAGGTCAGTGTTCAAGATAACTTATGGCCATATATCCAATGAGGGTTGGCTCCCAGAGTGCAACATCGATATTCTGTCCCATATATGGGGATGTCGTGATACAAAATTTGAATTCAAACAGCTGCCATTTTGTTCACTTCAACATTTGAACCACGAATTTTGGCTTTATTTCCTTACGAAAAATTCCAAAACTCACAAGAAATAATCGAGATATTGGTTCGAATCATTTGAACTGTTTATTTTGAATTTATATTCGGTTATAATTTCAGAAAATAACGACATTTCAGCATTTTCATTGTTGGAAAATATCGACTTTGATTCTGGGAGCCAATCCTCCTTGCCATATATCACAAAATCTACAGAGCATAAAAGATGGCACATTTAAAATATCTAAAACTTATATTGCTAAGTACAGCACCATAAGGGGATCTGTGGTTTAAGTCTAACTGAAGTCTAACTACACTGAAATGTAGATCTGTCCCTCACTATTTGGCATATGTTTGTGTAAACATCAAGAGTATATGTTCACCTATCAAGCCCTGACACATAAGCGTATGACAAAAACTAAAATGTCAACACCTGCAAATTCAAACATTTTTGGTTGGTCCCGGTGGCATTCATTTTAGACAGGATTTAATGTATAACCAAAGTAATAAAGAAACACATCCAAAGAATTCCAAAGCCCCTCTACCATTCAGAAACTATTCATTTATCAGGTAAACATCATAATATATATATACCCATACCTGTGCAACTGTCTCATATGCCATATAACTAAGGACCTCCAAAGCAAGCTGGTTGGGTTTCACTTCCACTGTCAGACCTGTTATGATAATGCTGTCTCTAATAGTTCCCTTACCTGTGCAACTGTCTCATACGCCATATAACTAAGGACCTCCAAAGCAAGCTGGTTGGGTTTCACTTCCACTGTCAGACCTGTCATCACCCAATCCTTGAACCGCTGGAACTTAAACTTGCGGACTGAAACAAAATTAAATTGAGAATAATCGACCAATCATAGTTGAGAATGTATGTATATGACAATTCATGAACATGGAAATACAGAGAAAAATAAACATGACAGGAAATTAAGGTGAAAAACCTGGCCATTTGAAAGCTTTGAAAACGTTACATAGATGGCTCTCACTTCCAATAGAGCAATAATGATAGAACAGTAGTATTTTGATAAAGTTTCTTTTAATTAGATTTGGTATTCAAACTTAAAAAGTGCAAAAGTGCAATTTTGGGCATTTTAGATAGATTTTATCAAAATATTTCAAAATGAGTTTTTATATGAACAAGGCATTAACATGACAAAATGTCATCAATCTAAATTCAGATTTGAATTTCTGAGATGATTTTGAAAAAAATTGGTCAATTTGAAGCCAGTTGAAAAAAGACCCTTTTGACCTTGAGAAGGTCATTGAAGGTCATATATTTTTTTGATCTTGAGAATGTCATTGAAGGTGAAATCTAAAGTCAGATTTGAACTTTTGAGAACTTCAAGATGATTTTGAAAAAAATTGGTCAGTTTGAAGCTAGTTGAAAAAATACATTTTTGACATTTATTATCTTGAGATCAAATCTCAAATCTAAAGTCAGATTTGAACTTCTGATAACTTGTAGATGATTTGGGAAAAAATTAGGTCAATTTGAAGCAAGTTGGAAAAAGACATTTCTTTTACCTTTTTGTGACCTCGAAAACTTGTAGATGATTTTGAAAAAAACTACAGTCAGTTTAAAAAGTATTTGTTAAGTTATTGGAAGTTTTAAGAATTTGTTACAGATGTCAAACGCCGATCGCCAACCGCCATCAAAATATGTCACCACTTTTTAGTGGTAACATAAAAAGATAATAAGGATTAAGCAATGAATGAATAGACAATAGGACAGATAATTTTCAAAATTGTAGAAATAATGACTTGGATTTATTTGAGAAGAAGTACCTACAGAAGTTGTTCTGCCTCGCCTGGGTAAACTCAACGTATTCCTGGTTTTCCATGGTTCTTGAGGCCAACTCCGCTCTCTGAAATCACAAATAATTACATATATTTTGGCTTGATAAGACCTGATATGTCAAATACAATACATGCTACTGGCTTCCTCGTGAAGGACCATTGTCTTATATGTGGTTCTTATACACTACCAATCTCAAACAGTACTGGAAAGCCCTGTTTATGTTATGTAAACATTTGCGAATACATACATTACAAAAAGAACATCAGTACTCAATACATTTTTTACGAATAAAGATACAGCTGTCTTACCAGTAACCTTTGATGTTTAATCTCATCTACACCGGAGTCTTCAAACACACTCAGCAACTCCCCTGGAAAACATGAATAAAATCACATATTATAAATTTTTAAGACTAAAAGACCTATTTTGTGATTATGACAGTGTGGAAGCTAATGTGTTAATTAGTAAAAGATTACCAATTCTAAAATATATACAAAAATTAACATATTTTGATCATACACAAAAAAGACCATTCCAATACAAATTTTAACCAGGTAAAGCTTTATACACCTAGGAATACCATTTTTTGAACATGTTAATGGTTACACCAAAAAGTACTATTTAAAAGCATTTTTGACCATGCTAATGGTTACACCTCAAAGTACAATTTGAATACATATTTTGACCATGTTAATGGTAATGCTACATGAAGAAACACCATTTAAATTCAAATTTTGACCAGGTTAAAAACAACTCATAGAGAACAACTGGGAGTGGCACAAATCTAATGAAAGTTCTCAGAATTAAGGGTCTCATTCCACCATCCCTGATTTCCCATACTATAAGCCATCAATCATAATTCAATAAAAATCACAAATGTGGTCCATACAAACTCCAAATAGATGAATGATGAAGCTGCAATTTGCTGGGAGAAGGAAGTGCATTCAAATAATATCCCCCATATGGTGGGAAATAATAGTCACCTTATATTAAGTTCCTGACCAATTATCTTACAAAAGACAGTTTAAAGAAATATGTGAGTCTCACATGCAAAATATTTGGAAGTATTTTGAATTTTATTCACAACTTGAATTCTGACTAACAATATCCAAATTAAAAAATAAGATTTTTTTCTTATGTCTATGGCTGCAGGAATATTCTCATTTACAGCTCTGGAATTTGGAAAGTTGACATTTATAGCTTGTTATACACAAAATCAAGATTTACCCTTTCTAATGGTTTGGTTTCACATCTTAAAAGAGAGCTTCATCTATACTCTGATTAAGAGAAAACCCTTTGACAAAGCCACACCCAATCAGAATACAATAAATCAAAATCCGCCCACCCAATCAGCTTATTAACGGATACTAAATGTTTTAAATCAAATAAAAATTGCAAAATAAATGATTATCAATTATCTGATATCCTCCTCTTGACACAAGTGGGAAAGTAGCAGATAAATTACTATCACAAATATTTATTTTTATCTTTGAGATTGGACTGTAAATACTGAAATCGTGAAAAGAAAACAAATCTAGGGTATGTGGTTAGATTTGTCATTTACCTGTTTAAGAATTGTAGTTATTTAGGAAACAGTACTGTAAACATGAAAGTGGCAGGTCTTTGGATAACAAAATGTTAACAAGTGATAAGATTTGAACATAATCCAAAGTAACAGCTTAAATAAAATTGATCAAGCATGCGTGTGTAAATTCATCATGCTTTCGTTTATTTTTCTGTTTATCTTATTGCTTTTGAGTAACTGGTATTGTTTACAGAGTTTGAGTAATTTTGTTTTTTTTCAAATGTTAACATTTGTATATTTGATAAACTTATTTCAATACCATTGATACAGGTCAAAGATTATCCACGAGGGGAGCTGGAGGGTTGAATAATTGCTATGTTTTTTAGGGGTTTAGATTTATCTTGTGTTTTAAATGTCACCATTCATATCCCATGTTTTTCTGATTAATGCAGTAAATGCATATCTGGAGTTTATCCTGGAGTGAGGTACAGATAGGTGAGAGGGGGGGGGGTACATTCATATTCATATCTTCATAAATATGTTGAGGAAATAAGTCCCAACCACAAATCTGTTCACCCCTTCACAAAATGTCAAGCTGCTTGTGTTAAATCATTAAATACCATGGAAACAAGCATAACATACACCAATAAGCCACCAATTACTAGACGCACTCAATAAATATATCAAAATTAAAAATCAAAGAATATTCAAACAAAAATAGAAATACATTGTAACCTGTGACAGCTACGACAGGAGTGACTCTCTGGAATTTAAAGACAACTACATTACCAGGACATGTCGTTAATCAGTCTTACAGGAATACAATCCCTGTTCAAAGAAACCCTTGATGGATGGTCTAATACTTTAAACTTGTCTATCAAAACTTGACATCTGGAAAAATGTATGGAATATGATGCTGCACTGTATCACCTTGATTTTAGCACAGTAAAACCAGGTTATTTTGAACACCTGATATTGTGTGAAGACCTTGTGAAGACCCCCCCCACTCATACCTCATCTTCTTTTACAGGTGCACCCACCCCGCCTCCATTCACACAAACACATTCTGTCTTTATATCAACTTAAATCTATCAACAACGGATTCCAAAAAATTAATTGATACAGGCTTCCTCCAGAATATCATAAACTTCTACATGTAAACCTGAAAGATGTCCAAGGTATATGGTTCAACTGTAGTTCCAAAAAGAGTATGCACATTTGAAGTTTTAATGTGTTAACTTTGTGATTTACGAGAGATATGCAATTGAAAAGAATCATGAAACTATTAAATCTTTGCAAAATGACATTGCACTGTATTACCTATGAACCTAAAATCCTGTACCGATTTTGCAGAATTTAGTTAAAACTTAACCATTTTAGGCCAAATCTCTGATAATTTCACCCCACCCATGAAAATGAAGAAAATAAATAAATTTTTCAAGACAGATTAATTAATAAATTTCCAAGCCTTATATGAAGTTTGCAAAGCCTGCAGATGGGTGAGGCAGGGTGTGGTATGCAAACTTGCATTGGAAGAAATTGTAAATAAACCTCAAATTCAGCTATATTTATCTTATATAGGTCCTTGTGAGCTATTTATACAAAGAGTTTATAAAAAAAGATCAAGGAACAGGTCACCTTAACATGTGGTTTGCTCCTTGCTAAATAGAAAACGGAAGGGTCAGTAAGTACAAAATAATCGATCATATCCATCCTAAAGAGCATTTAATAAATGTCTTTTCGAATTCATTTTTCATGTTTCATAAATAAACCTGTCGAAAGTTTTCAGTTCTAAATGCAAATATTGAAGGTATTTCATTGAAGAAAATTTGAATTTTTGATTGCACTTCCTAGTTGTTTGACTCATAAAGGTAGATAGAGTAGAAAATGAGGAATTGACAAGTTAAGGTAGGCAGTATGAAATTATTAATCTAGCCAATTAATGTAGGCAGAGTGGCAATCGGGCTAATAACCAATGGAGATAAACAACGTAGAAAAATACCACACAGAAAATTCTGAAAACATTGAATATTACTACCACTAATATAATGTCCCTCAATTCTGATTATTTATTTTCTTATTTTTACCACATTATGTCACCTCAGAAACATTCCACAAAACCGGCATGTAATTATCATTAATAAAACAGTTGTTTGAAAGTTTTAACTTTTCAATATATTATACGGATTACAACGTTACAGGATTCATATGAGCTATGTGGTAGACAATAGTGGCGACTATTAAGATAGCATATTATCAGAATTTTTATTTATTTCCATGGTACCAGGACGCATGAAAGTTAATCCCATTATAAATCATCTCCATGGTAACATATGGGACAGATGTCCTTATATGTGGTATACCTGCTCCAAACATGAAACACATTGGTTGATTAATCCTCAGACGAAGACCAAGTTGAAAAAGCCTGCAAAATGTTCTATGGCAAGAAACAAAAAGTGGGACCCAGGAATTATCAGTAATCTGACAACTTGAATGAGATCACTCAAAGTGTGATATGACATTGAAAAATAGTTGGCTATGTCAACAATCCAAACATGGTCAGTGTTATTGTGGTTTACCAGAGGATTTTAAGGGCAGTTTCTGGTGGGCTCTGGTTGCACAAAGGGCACATGTATGACCCCAACTCTAGCAGACGGATTCAACAATCACGTCTTTTTTCTAAAAAATCTCAATAAAATTTGAAGAAATGTTTCCAAATTTTTGCATATATCTACATATGAGGTAGTCTTCTATAATGTCTGAAAATGATTTGCACGAGGAATTAGCAGAAAATGATATTATGAGAGGATGAAATTTGTGTGGCTAGCAAATAGTAAGGTTACTATGTGGTGACCAGTGTGGTGCACCTAAACTCGTGCCTCATGACACTAACCTAACAACAAATCTCCCAATTAAATAAAGCCATTTTAAATACTTTTAAAACACTTACATGTCCAGAATAATCAATATATGCCGTTCCCAAAAAATGTTCACACTTTTTAAATGATCATTGTGGAACAAGGCTGAACTGAAACATGACATAAGAATGTGCATGCACATTACAGTGATTCATTCCTGAGAAGAAGTGTATAGATTAACACCTATTCACACACCTTGTATGGAGTTAGTGGTATGATATGTTACTATAAACCATCTCATAAAATCTGTGTGGAACCTCCAACCAAAATTGCATTTCTACCAACCTTGATTTCATGTAGAGATAAAATTGAAAATAGATGTTGATTATGATTTAAAGATATAGAGGTTCTTGTATGAGTACCTGTGCAAAATGATGTTTGAAATTTGAAATTAATTATACTAAGCTTATATTCACGAATGTAAGTTTCGGTTGTTGGCTATCGGATTTACCTACTATTTTATGACCAACTCATTTAAATATAAATGGAATAGTGGCAGGTACTATTCATATTTAAATGGGCAGCAAATAAAAAAAATAGGTTAATCTGGTAGCCGAAGACCAAAAGTTGGATTTATGAATACAAGCGAAGACAATCAGAGTTGTTCAAATACAGAGCAACAATAATATGTAATATTTTTTATATTGACTGGAGGCGATTTCTCAAGAGTTTCGTTTTTAACGAATCGTTAATTCAATTCTTAATAATGATTTTCCCATTTTTCGAAAGTTAATGATTCGCGATGACGTCATTTACGATTTATTTGTTATCCATGATTGATTTTACGAGTACGATTGGGGGCCTCGTTATTCAATTAACGATGTGGTATCAATAAAAACGAATCCACGACTCACTATCAATGATTCGTTAATAACGATAAGTTTCGAGAAACGGCCCCTGGCTAACTGCCATCTTGTTCTGTGTGTATTGAAACAATTTTGACCAGTAAAAAGGCTAAAATTTCAATAGAAATAAAGATGAGTGACAATCATTTTCTAGAATGTTGAGATCAGCCTATCCAATTTCAGAGTGGGTAATTTTTGATGGAAAGGGTTGACTTCTTAATTTACTTTCCCCATTGTCTGACGATTTGTGTAATGAAAGGAGAACTCTGGTTAAGGTTCATATACCATTCTTGCCAACCTCCTTGAAAGATTTGAAATTGTTTAGAACATAATGTAATGTTTATTTCATATTCGAACATGACTGTATTCACACATTCTATGAACTGTAAACAAAGTTAACATTTCACCGGGGTATATTTGCGAACAATACCCCTTGTAATACGTGTAATGTGTGACGTCATAATGGTTGGTCGTAGTTATGGCGGACAAAAAACGAATAATCGAAACATTTTGGTGAGTTTTCATGTTCGAATCGTAATATAGACCTCAGAGCAGGTGTAATATCGTCAAATACATACCTTAGGGCTAGGCACAAAAGCTTTTGATCCAGAAAACGTTTGTACCCAACCCTGAGGGGTGTATTTGACAAAATAACCCCTGCTCTTCTTACATTCATTGCACTTGCCATAATGGTGAAGAATAAAATAAAATAAAAGGTGAAGAAGGTATACACACCATAATCAGACTGTCTTAGACAAGTTTAATTTAAAAAGTAATTAAAAAAAAAAATTACATATTTACCTGTTTGGTCAATGCTGTTGATGAAATCAAAGCACAACTTCTTCCTCTTCCTGATGGGTGGTCTGCCCTCACCTGGAATACATACATATAGAATATAGGATTATAATCATTTTTCAATAAATCAATTATTGCAAAAGGCTTGATCAGAAGATATCCCCTTTTTTAATTTGGACATTTCTGGAAATCAGATCAGATATCTCTTCCCTGCTTCAGAAAACACGGACATGATTTTTGAAGACTGCTTCAAAAAGTTTACACTCTCTTTCCCTTCCCCTCTGCGTAATAATGTTTCTGTTCTTAAGCTGTTATTTAGGTTATAACTAACTTGATATGAGTCTAGACTGTATCATAAAATAACTTGATATTTTGAATGCAACATAAAAAAAATCAGAAATTCAATTAATGACAGTGGTAAACCCAAATGTGAAAAGCTAAAAAATATTATCTCTTATCTCATTTTGATGAGTTCCGTTTTGAGATACCTCTCACTAAGATACAAATCTTGTTGTTCGTATCATAAACATGAGTAAAAGTATGATTTATTTTGATTATGACACATCTGAAAATCAAAATTCAATCTAATACAAGAGTGGTAAACCCAAATTATGAAGTGCTAAAAAACAATGTCTCATATCTCATTTTGATGAGCTTTTTTCTCAAGTGTTTGAACATGCATGCACGATCTTCCAATCTATTAGACGAGATATGTCAGAAAAAGGAGATATCAACGTCTCGTTAGTGCAAACTCATGACCTTACACGCTTCTAAATTGCAAATGCCACATTTATGTGCTGTAGAACTTGATGCATCATCTGATATAACAATATTACATGAAAATAATACTTCCTTCTTTTTCCTTAAGTTTTTGTTCACATAACCATGAATCATATCTCTAATGAGACAATAATTAGAAAACTATAGTTTCCTCCATTTTTAATTCCAAATCCATGATACCATATGGCCCTTCAAAAACACAGATCAAGACTTTCGTAGGAAAGTTAAATAAAATATATATTTTGAGTGTGAACGTAATACTTCATTTGAATAATATATAAAAACTTACTTTATGACAACCAAGCTGAGTCTGACTTTCATACGGACTGCTGGCAACAGTAGAAATGAATGTCAAACAAAATGAGTATGACTGAACACTTTGTGTGCTATAGTTGGCTAATATTGACTTTATGTATAAGAGTTTGGCCAATTAAGTTCAGGATGCATGTATGTATGCCAATCCCATAGTAGTAATAATATGATGTAATAAGATTAACTAATTGCTAATTTTCACACTTCTTACAATTGTGTTTAAAAACGTTGCTGCCTGCAAAGTATGACATCATGAATCTAGCTAATATACCCCCAATTCTTGGTTTATCAAAGGAATTAGGATTTATTGAAATGGTATATTTATATTTCAAAATCAATAGCTCAAAGGCAAACATCTAATTAAAGGTTCTATGCTTCTTGATATTTGCATATTTTGAATACAATTTTGAAGTTGGCCGATGAATCAGAGCAAATGTGAATCAGGCATAAAGGATAGCCTCTCAAAATGATTGGAACAACTCATATAATACTGTCATAGATCCATGTATGAGTAAATGCAAAAGGTAGCACCATAAACCTGTAACTCGAAAAATATAGCAGAAATGTCGCAAAACATCCACACTTTTAGACTGACTTCTTCCGCCAGTGAAGCTACTGTTTTATATCTTTCAGTAGAGAATGTCCTTGTGGCAGATATATGTCTACACAATACGTAACAATCCCTATTAACTTGTTAAAACAGAATAAACAATGTCTGCAATCTCCACGTTTATAAATCACTGAATTTTCTTTCAATCATTTGAATGAGCTTGAGAATTATTTTTGCACTTCATTTATGTTTCAAAGTTTTAACTGTTCGGCTTCTTTTTTCTGTCCAAAGTTTGCAATAAAACTATCACAAACAGACAGACTAGAACTTAAGATCCTCGATAACAATCCCTGAGCAATCTGGATTATACAATTAACCTGGTTTTATATTTTAGTATATTGGTGTTTGTATAGTTTCAACTCCTGGTTTTATACTTTAGTATATTGATGTTTGTACAGTTCCAACAATAAATATTGCTTATTTTTCTAATGATAAAATTAAGGGATTCTCACAGTTCATGAGTTTATGCAAGAAATAAACTTGATTTGTAAAATGTCTAGCCCCAAGGCTCTGTATATACAGTTGGGCTCCATAGGTCAGGGCCACAGACGGGTTTATAGTATGACCACAAATTACCCCAGAAGAGGAACATACCCAGACATCTCTCATAGACCACATGATTATATTCAACCAATAATAGAGTCCAAATACTATATCAACCCTCTTTTGATGTTAAAGACATCAGAATGATAGAGTATTCATTACTGAAACTAGGATACAATCTAACAGTGGCACTTATAACTGATAAACAATATATTGGGAGTGGTATGGGGAACCACCCCATTTAAGATAAGCATGCAAAAATGCTTAAAATTCTGTTAAGAGTTGATGTAAGTATGACTGGTGTCAACATGACTGTGCCTGGAGATATCTGCTCAAAATTGATACATGTCTATTAAATGTGTCTAAAACAGATGCTAAGAGGAACAATGCTGAACATAAACCATTATGACAGAAAACTATGCCTTAAGTAAATACCAAGAAATACTTCAATTTGTACAAAACATTAAGATCAGATTTGCAAATAATATGCTATATGTGTCAAGAACTGCACCGATAAACTAGAAAACAATGATACAACCCATTTGCCTTGGAACTTTTAGAACCATTCAGAAGCAGGGGATACTTTTAAATCAACCTTTATTTGGCAACTTAATAACAAGTTCTAGGTGTCCCAATCACCTGGTTCCTAGGATTTCTTTGAAAGTCTATTAGCCACTTTTCATATTTTACCCCATTCTCAGGTGTCCTGTTACATTGTTCCAATGCATCATTTTACCTTGTTCTTGCACATCCTCCTCTTCTCCAGGCTTCACTAGTGATGTCCTCAGGTCCTTCAAGTCCATGTAGCGTATCAATCTCCTCAGTTTCACCTACAACCAAGTTACATCACTGAATAAAGTATGACATCACTGAACACAGTATGACATCACCGAACACAATATGACATTACATCACAGGACTTCTTTCACTTGAAGCTCTAGTGTAATCATATACTTGAAATTATATTTTATTATCTTCCTTTTATTTTCCCTGAACTATTTACCTTATTGTGCATTGGAAATAACATGCATTAAAATCAAAAATCATCAAAGTAAATTATCTATAACATGAGTGCAAAATGTGTATTAGAGAATATGTACTCTTATCCTATGCCAAGTAGAGTTTTAGGGAGATAAGTTGGCAAGATATATCCCGTATCCTGATTTTGAGGTTTCCATATGTAGAACCTCCATATCTCCCGCCATATCTCCTGCTTCGGTGCATATCTTCCCGCTTCGGTGCATATCGTCCCGCTTCCGGTAAGTAGTGGAAATGCAATATAATGACTTTGCATATGAATGATTTGTTTAAGGAATAAATAATGATAGGCCATTCAATATGGTGAAATTCAGCACGAGTTGGACAGAATGTTGTACAAAGCACGAACCGAAGGTGAGTGCATTTGTACTAACATTCTGTCCAACGAGTGCTGAATTTCACCATATTGAATGGCCTATCATTATTTATTCCGATTCAAACATAAAAATTAGTAAAAGCCGTGTCTGTGGAACGGGCATGAAGGAAGAATACGCATGCTGTCAAGATTCTGAATTTGTTTGGGCTGTTCTATTTTACTCCCCGTTTTAGATTTTATACAAAACAAGGAAGTCAGCCATAGTTAAATAGTTACAGTAGTTACGGAGGGAGTAAAAAAGAACAGCTATCCCCGGACAGAGCCCCAGATGTGCAGCTGAGATGTGACATCACTCAAAACAATGCAAATGGCAGATTGAATAGAGCATGGTCGTGCATCTATGGAGAATTAGAGAACGTTCTATATTGGCTATGCTGCATTCTGATTGGTTGAGAAATTCGAATAGAGCACGGTCATGTTTGAATTATTTTTACACATTGTACTATTGAAATGGCCATATGCCCCTGAAAACCCTACTTGGTATAGGATAAAGCAGTTATGTATGGTCGGTTTGGATATTGGGTTCATCCCTCGTGAGATATGCACATCTACCTTCGGTCCCTACGGTCCCTCAGGTAGATATGCATATCTCCCTCTGGATAAACCCCATATCCAAAACCTCCCAGTACATAACCCTTATGTATGTGTATATGTGTTTGAACATATGTACTTGAGCATATGCATTTGAGCATATGTATTGAGCATATGTATTTGAGCATATGCATTTGAGCATATGTACTTGAGCATATGTACTTGAGCATGTGCATTTGAGCATATGTACTTGAGCATATGTACTTGAGCATGTGCATTTGAGCATATGTACTTGAGCATATGTACTTGAGCATACCTACCTTGTCTTTCCTAAGCAGAAATAGGAAGTCTTCTATTCCCACAAATCTAGCATTCCTTGACACAGCTACATCTACAGCTTCTAACAGCTGCAAGAAAATACATAATTTTAAGGATTTCAGCCCTGATAATTTGTAGATGATTTGTACAATAAGGTTATTGTGTGCAGTTTAAACTGAGGCTATAGGCGAGTTTAAAGCCTTAGATCTGAGTAAATTAGATAGATATGTTTAAATTCAGGATCAAATTTGAATGAGATAATGTATCAACATCCTAGCCAAGATACAATCAAATATAGTAGTGTTCCAGTGCTCTCCCAAGGATTTTTTCTATGTGGAGGATTTTGTTATTTTACTAGTGCAGCTTTTTATGATTTTGCAATTAATGTGTAAAAACTTTATGTAATTGTTTGTGAACATTCTATGATTTCCTTATATTTATTGAATTTAAAAAGAACAAGGCATTAACCTACAAAATATCACCACTTGCCATTTTTTAGAGATGCAGAAATCCGACTGCCAATCAACGAATGCTGAACACAAATAGCCAAACTCTGTCCACAAAAAAGACGGGGACCATAAAAATCATTGGGAGAAGATTGTTCCATCATTTTGATACTCATTGTACCTCCATTATTGAAAATGTGGAATTTGCCATGATTTACTGTTTTAAAGAAATTCATAATTGAGAAGTGTTCAAATATGCTTGTATACATACCACAGTTATCATTTGCTGTCTAACTATTCTCTCTACTAGGTTGGCTGACTCAGCTAGAGGCTTCTTCACATCACCAAAACCAAACCTGAAAATATATGCAATAAAAAGTTTTTAAAAGTCCATATCCCAGATAAATTATTAAGATATGCCCAAAACTCGAGTCAGATCTTGGCACTAACGTGCTCTTACATTTATAAATAAGGTATTATTATGCAAAATGTCACTACCTGCAATTTGTTATAGTTGCCAACCACCGAACACCAACCACCAACCGCTAAACACTAACCACCAAACACCAGCCACAAAACATTGGAGACAATATGTCAATATTTGTGGTGGTGACATAACAAGTTAGAGAATTGACAAGTAGTTTTCCTAGAATTTGATGACAAATTTTATGTGACGCCTACCCATCCTCAAAGACCGACACTGCACACCCATCAGTACAAAATGATGACAATCAAGCACTTTGAAAAAGCGCAATAGAAAGCAAGGGCCAGGATCAACACTGTAAAGTACCAGCATAGACTCTCATCAGATGAATATGAGCATTGGTTCAGAAAATGGCAGTTTTCATGTGTCCAAACAGACAGATTAAGACGATTCCAAATATGCAACATGTGAGACAATAACGAATAAGATCAAAAAAGAAGTAATAAACAAGGAAGAAGGCTGAGGAGTATGTTTTTGTTATTGTTATTTGTTATTTGTTAAGGTCTAGAATTAACACCTACTTAACTAGTTTGAACAATAAGCTGAATAAATGTTTATCATAACACCTACTCACTGATAAGTTCCATCGAATATGACAATGATGAGTAACTTATTTTGATTCCAGGAAATGGCGAACTGTCATCTGAGAAATTTAAAGCATACAAATTCAATTTCCAGATAATTGACAAATTGAATACAAAGCATTAACATGCAAAATGTCACCACCTGCCATTTGTAACAGACACCATCCGCCAAACATCAAACACCATACACAATAAAGTTGGGAGACTATAACAATATGTCACCATTTTTGAACAACTATAAATTCCTTTGCTACTTAGGTTAAATCGAGACTCATTTTTAATAAAAAAAAATAGGTAAAATGAGCTTATTAAAATATAAAAAAATTAATTATAAAATAAATAAATTACATCACTGAGGAAAACACATTTGTAATTTCTCCACTTTCATCCATCAGAAAATGATTAAGGATAAGCCACAAAACCAAAAACTCCAAAAAATAATTCCTTTAAAAGTCCTTTAAAAGTTTATTCCTCTCGATTTAAAAAATACATAATTCCATTAACTGTGCTACTTGAATTAACTCTGAACCAGATATATCAAAGAGGAATAAACAGTTAACAATCAAACTTAATCTAACCCTCGAGGGGTATATAATTACACATAATTACCCTTTAAACACCTAGAACCATTAAACACAAATTCCAATTGAGAAATCCATTCAATTTCACTGATTGTAATAATGGTAAACAGTTCTAGGTGCATTTCTATATTTTAAACCAAGACATTGACTAAATATAGAATGCACCCAATGACCTCAAATGGTAAGCAAAAGGGAAAACATGGGAAGTTTCAAATCAGGATCTAAACTCATTACTGACAGGAGGATAAAATACTACTTCTTCATTACTATTATGGAGCAAGCTATGTACGCTATTAACACCCATTTATAATTAATTAATACATAAAAAATCAATTTTGCTCAAAATGCCAGGATTACAAAATGATACAGCCGTACAAGGTAAGTTTTCAGATGTTATCAGTTTTAAAGTTTTTTTTGTCATTAATTTATTTTGTTGCTTTATCAAATAAGGAAGTCCGAAATGTAGTTGTACCTAAATAATGTTTGTTTACATGTTTGCTATGGTGTTGAGACGCATTTGATGTTGTTTTTAATTATCACATCTGTTTGTTTATGTTATCCATATTTCCCTTAGGTGACATTTACTATGTTTTTAGATAAGATCAAGTTGGGTGAAATGCTCAAATACATATACATTTATCAAAAACATTTCAAAAGTTCATATAGGCCTACATATATCACGCGAAGGATAACTTAATTGAAGGTAGATTTATGTTTGAATACAATGAATACTTCTTAATATATTTTATATTCAAATAGCAATGTATAGTTGGCTAAAAACCTTTTATCTAATAATACCCCCTGCTCTTTGAAATTATCAATTTGATAATAAGTAACATTTGATGGGTCAATTTGACATGTGTTGATGGGTCATCAATATTTGTTAGCTCATCAGTGTGAGATTTATTTGCCGGATATAAAAATGAATCTCGTATCTAATGTATATCTGATAAGCCAGACAATGTAAGTTAATGAATGCACCAGTGTTTCAAGCTACTATGTTATTTATCACTAGGATATTACTTGTCTTCTATCATGATACATTCAGGGGCGTCAGAAGGATTTACCGAGGGGAGGGGCGACTTTTGGGTATGGATGGGTCGTGCGTGAAGCACGCCGCAATCTTGATGGATCGGAGAGCATGCCACCAGAAAAGTTTCTTCTCTTGCATTCTGAACATATCTCAGCACAACATTTCTGTCATTATTATACTTTTGACTTTAATAAGCTCTAGACCCGGGGCTCTAGAGCTTGTTATTCTAGGCTCCGTTTCAAATCTAAAAAATGTGGGGAAAAAGGGGGGGGGGGCGGTCGCCCCCAACGCCCTCCCCCTTCCGACGCCAATGTACATTGCATTTCTGTTCTTATGAAATATTCTGAAATATTGCTGAATCAGGCATGCTTTACAGTAAGAAAAATATACGTATACATATGTACAGTAAAACCTGTATGAATGGAACATGTTTGATTCCTTTTGCAAGAAGTGTTCATCTAACATTAAGTCAACGGATCATGGGACTTTGAAGTGTCCATGTACTATAACGTTGTTAAGAAATTATACTGTACTACATTTTACCTATTTTTATTAATTCAAAATATTGTTCTCAAATGAAGAACATCAAAAATTTCCTACATTCTCGTTGTAGTCTAGAACAGAACCAAAATTGTTCTACTTCATTCTGATGTCAAATGTTCAAATATAAACAATTGCGAAAAATTTGTTTCATGACATCTCTGTAAAAATTCTAATCCCAAGAATCATTGCAACAATAAGCTAAGTTTCAACCATAGACAAGAAGTACGGATCAGTGAGCTGAAAAATTCAAAATGGCCAACTTATCAATTCTAAAAACAAAATAAGATTCATACCAAGCAGTCTGGAAACTTGAAATTATGAAGAAAAAACAGTAAACATAAAGGACCGCCTACCTGCCTAGTCATTCGCCTGAACTACAAGTATATATAACAAAATAAAATACTGCAATAAAAGGCATAACCCTGGATGCTATTCTAAATTTACAAATCAATACCTATTTTATCTCCCTTCATCCAATTCTTCTTATTCTTTCCTTACTTTATAGCTTATCATATTCCTCCAGGTAAAAACTAATTTTCTAAAGTGCCACACGTGTATAAATATATACAAATGCATTGAGCGAACACGCATTGTCATAATCGCCACATTAGCTGGCTAAATATAATTGAAATGAATCACATTCTCTTTTAACTCTTTATATAAGCAAGCAAAGGGAAATCATTTCCAAGATACATTAGGACCTTTCAGCTCAAATTGTTAACAATCGAATAGATTTCTCAAATCAGAGAAAATATTTAGCGAACTAGGAAATATTTACGACAACTTAAAAGATCATCTTCTACATACAGGTAATCAAAAATTTAATATTTATTCTTAAGTAAATAAAAAATGGTTGGTTCATATCTTTTATAAAACCTTAATAAAGCATTCACATATTTTCATATTAGAGAAGTTTTCACATTAAATATATATTTACATAACAAAAGTGTTAACATTTAAGAAGTCTTCATATTATATAACTATTCGCATCACAAAAATATTCACATCAGAGAAATGTTCTCATCATATAAGTGTTCACATAACAAAAGTGTTAATATTTTGGTGCTCGTATTTAAGTGTTCACATAAGAAGTGTTCACATTTAAAAGGTGTTCATGTCATATTAGTATTCAAATGACAAAAGTTTTTTGTAGATAGAAAGGTGCTCATATCATATAAGTATTCAAATAACAAAAGTGTTCACATATAAAGATGTGTTCACATTGTATATTTTTTTTTTCATGTAACTTAATTTCATATATTACTGTAAGATATGTGTTTAAAATGATTTAAGTGTTCACATTGGATATGTGGTAATATAATAAAAGTGTTCAATAGAGAAGTGTTCAATATTAAGAGCCTAAAAAGTATAAAGATACACCATATAAGGAAATACTTCAACTCCTTCATTTAGTTACACGCACCAATTATGAAATTGCCGATTCTTCTCGAGGCTAATTACAATGTCAGCAATAATGTTTATATTTTTATGTAATTTCTCACGATATTTGGCAACTTTATCAATCTCTAAACTATATTTAGACATTTAAGACCTAATCGCCTTAATCCTTCCACCCACTCGTAGTAAAGTGTTAAGTTTACAACTTCTTCAGACATAAACAGCAACAATGAGTTTTTTGAACCTAATGCGATTACATCGGCCAATTGCATTTTAATAATATTGACTTACCTCATTTTGAGAGGGCAGGAAAAAAGTCTCGTTTCTGGCACCTGAGTTGGTGGCAGAAATCTCATCAAGAGAGTTCACCCAGTTCTCACTGGTATTTTATTGCTAAGAATTTTTGAAATGCTCTCATTCAGATACCGTATTCTCTCAATAGACGCACATACTCCAAGTCATACTCTTTGACTTAGAAGACCAGTCAGTGACAGAAAGCCTTTAGATATTGACTTGAGTATCGCCGTAAATTACCTACATGAACAAACTGGATGTGAATATTTTCATTGATGCATATTTTTTGAGCATTTTTTTGAAAGAATATGGTACATACATAAACTTTTTTTCTATATGTTGAGTATTACATTTTAATTCAATCAATCTATTGATTTCAAAATTGTGATATACATATAACTCTATACAGTCCAAATGTATTCATCGGTTAGGTAAAGAT